AGTGATCCGCGAATCTCACTAGGGCATTTAACAATTTCCTGCGGGTCTCTCCTTGCGTGGATAGGAGCTCCTTTAGGTGATCAGCGCGTAATCCATCCGGGCCAGGGCAGGTTCCTGTATCAAACGACTCTACAGTAGCTATCAGTTCCCTATGCGTTACTTCAGAAGGTACCACGTCGACGTTACGCACCGTTGCATCCAGGTCAACGGGTCGACCTGGATGTTTTTCTCTCAAAATCGCAATTACTTCGTCGGTTAATGGCGCAATTGTTTCTTGTGAAACGAGAATGTTCATCGCGCGTCCTATCGAGCCGCTTTCCAGTTTGGCATTGACCAATTTTGCCTTTAGCGCTGCTGCTGTCTTTGGCTTTGGCTGCTTCTTTTTCGGGGGGATAACAGCTGGCTGTTTGCTTGCCAAGTTCTTCTTTACTGACGTAGCCAGTGAGGGGCCTTTACCAGACTTGGTTGGAGGAGCTGTCAGGATGCTCGGTGCAAAAACAAGAAAGTAGCTCCAAGCTTCCATATCATTTTTTGCGCAGCATGCGAGTAGTAGCTGCGCGAAGGCCTTAGCACATGCATCCCTAGCACCTACTGGGACGTGCGGGAGAATGGGATTGGCTCCCCTTAACCGAGATAACTTCTCCAGCAAGGTTTCTTCGTGTGGAGCTGGTTGGGGGGGGGATGAACCAGGGAGCTCGGGCTTGTTTCGTAAGTTGCGGGCTTGGGCTTCTCTGCATTTTCCACTGTCGCGATGTGAAGCGATCCCATGTGCCGTCAAGCAGACTTTTCCACACAAATCACAGGTAAAATTATTATTCTTGGACGACATTCATAATAAAATTCATAATAAAAGAAAAGAAAACAAATCTGTAACGCAGTTATAAAAAGTAGATGATAGTTTAATACCCATGGCCAAATTTCTCTCAAATTACACTACATGATTATTCGAACCAGTCCAGACTTTTGTACGGTTTGAGCCGTCTACACTGTAGACTCTGTAGGCGAGTGAGAGCTAAAGCCGCTCACGTTCAGTCAGCTGCCTGCTCTCTGCACTCAGTTGCAGGCCGTGTATATGAATCGTGAATGGGCTCATACAACGTACGTGCGCCTGCACTGCAAAATAAATGGACAAGTGCAGGGTAGCAGTACAGTACTCGTAGTAGTTCCTACCTCGTAGTAGTAGTAGTAGTAGGTAGTCGGCTACCAATAACTACAGGTTTTTCAGGTTATCTGCCTTACAACTGTCTAATTATCATATTTTTATATAATATTGTTATATCAATTGATTACTGTAATTGCAAAAAATACTCGTATCGTACCAGACGTTAGGTACTGGAAAATCGCGCATATACGGTGCCAAAAAGCGCGTTTCAGCCCTTCTTTTCCAGCAAAACATAGCAGAACATTGTTAATAAAATAGCGTGGAAAGGTCGTATTCTCGTATCAAGTCCATACATATATGTGATATCTATGGTTTAACATCTATGGTTTACTTTATTAGGCACTACCGTTCTGTAGATATTTCAAAAGTAAACTAAATATAAATACCAAGCAAGCACTACAGGAACACCGCAGTTCAAAGCTGGCATTCACTGCTGGGCGAACGTATAAAACTGCAAACGTATGTGCAGTCAGTGCAGATAACGGTGTACAGTAGGAATGAGGGATTCCACTAAATTCAATTATCAACCCTTCCAAGGGCAGTGTTAGCAAGAGAATTCGAAAGCATTACGAGAATTCTCTGGTTACAAGATTTCGCCAAAAAAACTATAACGCAACGGTTGCACTTACTGTCTGCGGGACGCGGCACTCGTCGTCGGTTCGGATGAGGCCCAAACCGGGACCACCACAAGTGTGGATAATGGCTAGTAACGGTCCGGATTGTTGCCAACCCGGACATGGCCATCTCGGGGCAAAATTTCAGGACAGATCACATTGTACTCAACCGCAGCAGGGACATCACCTGGGAGCGGATGCGGTTGTTCAAGGAAGCCAAATTCCGATTGAGCGCCAAAATCTAAAACAAACCCAGACTACGTTTATTCACCGATTTACACGGGGGTTCGCAATATTACTGGTAAGAACCCGACCGACGGAGATCTTTGCTGGCCCGTTCACGTTCCCGACAACCAAAAAAAGTCCCGATCCCGTCTCAACAGCCTGTGAAACAGCCTCCAAATCCCCAATCTCAAGGTGCAGAATCTGATTTCGACATTAATGTACGTACAAGGGCAGATCTGTTCACCGGCCCAGCTGCCGTGGAACAATGACTGGCCTCCGCCCCAACCCGATCTGGATAGATCACGTCCTGATGGCGGTGGTGGCCGAGATCGTGACCCGGCGCTACCCCCTTGGATCTGTTTTCAGTTTCCACCAAAACGACGACAATGTCAACAACGCAGTGCGCTGGTGGCGGATCACAATCTGATGGATGCACTACTGAAAACAGCCGCACTGAAAACAGTCTGTCGCTGGAAAAATCCGGAACTGATAATTGATAGCTTCATCGAATATGGAATATGTAATGGAGAATGGTGTTATCACGGAGCATGAAGTGGAAAGGTGCGTCATGTCTGCGTAATAAAACACAGTAACGATAGCGTTATCTGCATTAGTAGAATTATTTTCAAGAATTAATAATTTAAAATATAAAAAAGTCCGCTTGTTACAGGTAGTAGGTACTCTAGGTAGATTAAGAAACCCGGTGATGACATCAAGCTAGGCCATCCAATTGCCGATTCTGAAAATGATGGATGGAATGTGGCTCAATACACGGATGTTGCGTAGATATACGGGTACGTAAAACTTCCACCAGATACCGAGTTTTCTCGGGTGCAAAGACGTAAAGCAATAACAGTACTCTTGTTTGTTCGCAAATGCTTCATACAATTTTTATATCAGTAGGAGTGTGTTGGGCCTACAAAAAAGGTCAGCGATAGGAAGCAATTTAAACGAGCCAAGACGTTATGTGCGGCTTTCTTAATTTTTGAAATCTGTGTAAACTGTCAGTTTACTGATAGCAATCAAAAATCCGAGTCCAAGTTCAATGCATTATTGCAGCACCGTTACAATTTTAAATTCAGGTTTGGTACCACTTCACTAACCAATAACCATAAGTACATATTCTACATAATTTTGCCGCAACACCAAATTGCTCCGCAGCCAAATCGCGCCTTCCTGCATCGACTGTCGTCCAACCACCCGTACGCGTCAACCAGGCGATTACGGTTATTCGTATTCACGAAACGAGTGTTTCGTAATACCTATCTGGCGTGCATCAGTCATGCCAAAAGCTTGCACTTAAATTGTAACCAGTGTTGGCCCGACAGCACAAACGGCGTTGCAGCTTGTAACGCGTAAACTGTTTGGGGCGGCGCGCCGTGGTGGATCCCAGCCTTCTGTAACCTATCTGTATGAAGTTGTAGGGTAGTTTTCCTTGCTTGCGCAACAAATTGCTCGACGAGCTTGTAACTGTCATCCTCTAAGTCAAAGAGAGCACCAACATGAAGCGAACCCGCTTTTCAGCATTTCCGATCAAACCAAAGTCATGAATCAGAGCTCCAAAACAAACCAGACTCAGGGCTCACCGTGTTTCCGGTCAGCAACCCGGACCAGTGTTGTGGGAACAACGACTGCCACGTCTTGACCAGAACTGTCTTAATCACAAGATAAAAAAGCTAACCTAGAACAACAACAATAGCACATACTGTAGATACGAGCCACCTACGTACATCACTGGCATCGTTGCCAGGCCGGAATCTCGTCAAATGACGCGTACTCGTACATCACAGGGGTGTGCGCATATCCAGTGCGCTGTAAATTGACGATTCTCGCCGGAGTGGCAGCTTCGCACGTCGCTAGCTACAGGAATATGGCAATGCACCGAAAGAGGAACTGTGCAAAGTGCGCAGACGCTATGTATCAAGCAAAGACGGTCGCACGTTAGGCGTCCTGGAGTACCGTGGCCATCGGCATCGCCACACAATTTACCGAATAATTGTTTGATTGATTGATTGTTTAGTGAGTAGCCAAGCCGGGTACGTACAATTCGACACTATCACATTACACTTCTTTATCAGCATGCCTTTTTTTTATTTGTAAGGTTGGTGGTGTCTTGTTAATTTTAATGTAGTATTTGGCTGCCGCATTAACACACAGCAGTTTGCAAACGCGCGCCGTTTAAAAAGAACCAGCATGAGATTCTATGGGTCTACGATGACTTCCCGGAGTAGCTGAGACGTGAGCTCCCAACCGCCACAGCAGCCCCACAGAATTGTGAATTAGCACATCAGCAAGCGCCGAGCACAACCACGGTACTGTCGGTACATACAAAATAACCAAAGTACCAACTATTTTGTACCGTGGCACAAGTGTGCCAGGTATAGGGGGCAGCACTTTTTCTAAATAAAGTAGACACTAGGCAGCACGCAGGTATCATAAGGGTAGAATAGAATCTCAGAATCTCTCGCCACGGTGAAAGTTTAAACGTCTTACCATCGAGAATGTGGATGAGGGACGTCTGCCATAACCCATGTCTTTTGCCCGCTTTTTTACTGTGCGAAGTGACTTGGAACTACGATTGTTCAATGTGCAGAAGCAACGGGCATAATCAGCATTTTTGCAGAATGGATTTCGAACAAAAGCACAGGTAACAGCTTTTTTGTGTTCGACGCAACGAATTAGTAGTATGTTGGTACAACGGTAAGCGGCGAAGCTGCATGCGTGCTAACTCGTTCTTTGAAGCTCTAACATGCTCGACGGAGTAGACTACTTCGTCGAGTGGAGTAGTCCACTCCGTCGAGTGTTGCTGCAGACATCGTTTGCAGTTGCTGTGCGGACATAAGTGTTGCTGCTGACATCATTGTTGAGCAGTACTTGTGTGCTTAGTTCCAGAAGGGTTTGTGGTTGGTTGGGTTTGTGGTTGGTTTTTGGGGTTTCTGGGTTTGTGGTTCTAGATGGTTTTTTTGTTACGCTTATCAGCTGGTAACAAAATTAGATAGTTGCAATGCACATGTTTATCAACAGGAAATATTGCATATACGGAGCACAGAATACATATGTTTATCAAAGCTGTTTACTTTTGGCAAAAGGTATATGAAACGGACTAACAAATTGTGTGAATAAGTTGGTCAAAAATTCAGAGCAACTGAGCCGTACGATCGAAAAATCTTGGTGATTTCAGTAACTGAATTTCCAAGGGCGGCTTCAACACGGGAAACTTTCGGCAGGAACAACATTAATTAATGGAACACTCAGAAGGTAGCGAGTGAAACACCCCAAATGAGATCCCTTCATCAGACCCGAAACAACTCCGCGAGCCCCAGCACAGCCATTCTGCTTAGCTTGTACACATCCACAAGTCTTAGATCAATTTCATTCCAGAATTTCGGTGTCCCGTCTGCGTGAAATCCGCTAAACCTGAAAACAAACAGCATTATTATTTTTTTAGGTACCGATCAGTTTAATTTCTTCTCTCGTAAATCGAGGCGCAAACATACTAGCAAAAAAGTGCAAAATTTGAGGGAGATCGGTCCATAATGGGACTTTTGGTACACCTGAACGTATTTAAACTTTTTGGAATTTTGACAGCCTTAACTCCCGAACCGGATGTTGCGCGCACAAGCGGTTTTCACGCCAGTGTATGCAAATCTTCTGGCTACAGAATGTCATAAACCGAAACAAAAAAGTGTTTGGGAGGGCGCGAAAGTAAAAGTTTTCGTGCATGTACACGAATTTGGTACCATGTACCGGGCCACTCCACTAATCTGTTTATTTTAAAGACGAATCTGAACCACAATCGGTACTTGGTATAAAATATAAGGAAGCCAAACCAAAAACTTCAGCAGCGATATTAAACCGTTTCCAGTACTGACAAAGGAACGGCAGAGAAGAAGAATTTTAACAGTTTGCGATTTCATGTCGTACGTGCGCTACTACAGATACGCGGCAGCTAACGTTCATTTCAACGTGGTCTTGAAGAACATCAGCCGAGTTGCAACCACTGCTCGCATCGTTCGGTTTGTGCTACCAACGGTACGTTTTGCTCTTCAGTTTCAACTAGTAATACATTATATACAAATTAAAATTCAGTGAATTTAAATAAACTTACACTGATAAATAGACTCTGATGGTGTCCCATTCCTGTGGAAATGCGAGCGTTCGCACCCAGCGAGCATGAACATTCTTGACCTTTACATAAACTTCGTCTGCAACAGGCGCGAAATTACTGTCCAAAGCCCACATGAATTTGCTGATCATGCTCTCCCAGTCTACGCTGCAATCCAAAACCAACTTCCTAATCGTGATTTGAATTTTATCAATCCCGAGCACATCAATTCGGGACTCGTGTGTGAGAGTTTGCATCCACTGGACCTCATGGGCTGGCAGTGCGTGAAGTTCGGACCCACAAAAATCGAAAAATATTTGATCCAGAGCTTTGCCAAAAATGTTGCTCAATTTCCAGTTGTGTAGCACGATGCGCTGGCAGCTGTCTTGGTAAAACCTCAGCCATATTGTCGCACCATGCCACTCCAAAAGCTTTCGGCCATCAGATCGCGAGACCTTAGAGTAGCTGTACAGGTTTCCGCAATCTGTAATTGTGTAGTCCTTGAAAATTATTACAGGCAACTTGATCTCCATGGCTTCCAACAAATCAGATAAATAGTTGTAGTTTAAAAATGGATTCAGTATGGTAATGCTTTTTGTGTTGGAACGGACGGTGCGGCTCAGGAGATATGCTGTTTTATAGCAATTTAAGTTGCCGGATTTCGTTGCATCAGCACATGTTCCGAAGCAAACCCTAATGTGCTCGGTTGCGCGATCACTGCTCAGGAGCTGCTGCCATAAAACGCACACTCTGCGAAAACAGCGAAACCAATTTAACATCAGTGACTGCAGTTAGACCTTTGACTCCCAAATACCAAGCCATTTTGGCAGCTTAAAATACAAAAGGGTGTTTTGTAGCATGTAGCCCAAAACCGCCTTAAGTGAAGTACTACATTAGCAGCTGAGCATTCGCTTCCGCTCGCGGGAGTGGTCGACGGGTCAGCGTTTCAAGCTGCGACTTCCCTGTAGATGCCTGAGCATCTTTAGGGAGCTATTATGTGGTATCCGGCTGTCGTTTAGTATTTTCTGTCGCGCTCTAATTTATTTTATAGCAAGACTGCTAGACAAAAATATTTTTTTGTTTATTGTTTTATGTACGAGTTGATTGTAACTGACAGTTACAACTGAGGCGGTTAGGCGGCGGTCGCCCCTAATTCCTAAACGCTGCCCAATGTTCCACGGCCACCGGTCAAAATTCGCGCAATTTCAGGTCTAAATAATTTTGAAATTCGACAAAATGCAAAGAAACGTAGCAAGCTTGCAAGTTACAAGGGCTGTTTACATTTAAATAAAACAACAAACATGCGGTAGCTTCCTGATTCCTGTTTTTTGAATATCATATCGTTCGTTATTCAGCAGAACTAGGACCGTTATGTAATGCGGTCGCTATGCACTGCTTTTTGAATTTCGACCATGTGTATGGCTAGCCAGTATTTTGAAACAACCGTACCGTTACAATCGTTGTCAGTACCTTGTCTAACAAGCGTCATATCCATATGCCCAAAAAATTTTGTCATAATGTTACCGAACCGAACACCCGAACACCTTAAGACCTGAACCTTGGCACAGAATTCGAAGTTACAAAAAAAACGTAGCAAAAATTGCACAACGTGGCTTTCCGACATTTATGCCCAATATACCCGCGTGATATCTCCTGTGAAGTGTTACCAGCCACTCGGCCGGCAGGAAATTTCTCCATGCCGGACACCGAATATTATACTCCGGCAATGTCTCCCAAGCCGCAGATACCGATTAAGGGAAATAACCTGGTGCATGGTGCAAAATCAGTGTACATACACGAAAGCTTTCGCTTACTGCCAAACACTTTTTTGCCTCGTTTTAGCGCTTACTGTAGGCGTGTAGCCAAATAATTTGTATACAATGGTGCAAAAAGCTCTTATGCGCATAACATCCGGTTGGGGAGTTATGGATTAACTAATTATGGATTCCGTAACTACTACCAAGGGTACGAGGACAACTGGGTGCTGCTTAGCCGTAGCTCGCAACGCTACTGCCATCACAGTCTAAATGCAAACCGCCTAAATTTAGCCGGTTGTTCATCGCAGCCTAGTGCAGGGGGTGTTCACAGCACCCAATTGTCCTCGTATTTATGGTGACCAAATTGTACTTTAGGGATAAGATAACGGGAGATTACTACAAGTCACCCACCTGCACTGTTATGGTTCGGCTACGTGTACAAGTTTGTGCGGAGGTTGAGCAGGCTAGTGAGCGCGTTGTTAGCACTTAGCGCATTGAACGATGGCCACATGCTACAATTGCTGCAATGGAAAACTGTCCTCCGCCCTCCGCAGATCCGGAGATCGCGTCTATTGCACCGACTTCCATGTGGCCGCCATCCAGGCGATTGCAGTTATGGTGATTCGTTAATACAAGTGTTCCTGGATAATAATTTGGCATGCACATACCACAATGCCAAATGCATATATCCCATAAACTAGTGTGGCGTGGCGCGCCGTAGATGCAGTTTGGCACAACCCATAAATTTATATGTTTGGCCGTACTGATTCGTGCTCATCATCGGCAGCAAACCAACTCCCTGTCTCCCTGACGGAAAAAGTGTGGCTAAACGTACGGAGACGAAATGTACCGCGACCGCTCGGGCGGTCAAGCTAGGTATGGTTGATACTGGTAGACTGGTAGTCGTACTGCTACATAATCATGTTTTAACGGCCAAATTTGCAATCCTGTCCTCTGATAACTGGTGCCCATTTACGTAACTGAAATTTTACGTGCATAAATAGGGACATAACTAATACGGGTCTGTGCTCTGCAGGCAGTCTTACATATACTGTATTATGTCATAACCATATTAGCGATATTACATATAATAATTATATGAACGCTTTTACCTTTTAACCCTTACACATGAGTGCAGTTCCAGAAAGGAAAGGATTTCGCTCAGAAGAAATGGCGGCAGATTATTAAAAGAGACACATTTATTCAGCTGGTCGGCTTTCCCATCTACGAGAAAAGATACTGGAGCCACCAAGCAATAAATTGTTTCGCGAGGTAACATTTCGCTAGGTAGGTTCATATTGACGATGAATAAATGGCACCTAGTTATGAACTGTAACGTACCATCAGCCATCTCGAATCTCGAAAGGTACAAGCACATTTACTAATCGAAATGTGCTTCGCTTCGAAAATCAGACGTAGCCTTCATACTGCTCAGTACTTATTTCCAAATATTTTAACACTCGACCTATTCCAGGTTTGATTGACGATTTGACGTTGCATGATAAAATGCATATTCCTATGTGCCGTAATGACAGATAGGCTGTTTTAGCGTCATTCGGCTTCGTTTATTAAAAGGTGACACTACAGCCACCCCTTATTCGGCACCTCGTTAATTATGCGCACCCTTTTTTAGTTATTTAATATAAGTTTACAGACACCCGGTTTTGTATAGGCATTTAGGCACCCCTTATGTAAATGCATGTTGCTTAACCTAATGACAGTAAATTAGGATGCTTGTATACTATACATATATACGACACTTGTATACTTGGACACAATGCTTATATACTGAAGTATCTGTAGTTAATTATACAGGGGTTTTGAACTGTACATTTATGTACATTTACACCGTACATTTATGATGCTACGATGCGGTCACCATGATCGCGTACTTACTGAAAGTGCTTCCTCTTATTGACAAAAATGTAGACAATGGACTGGAATGGACCGTGTACAGGCAGTGTCACGCACTGTACGGCTCGCACCACTTTGAGCTTTCACAAAAGGTGGCTTCCAGTTCCGAACACTTCGTGCGAGTGTACAACAGCCTAAACAGTGACCTTTCGCCGCACGTCTTCTACAGTTATCTATGCTGTATGGAGGCGAAGTTAATGAACTACGAGTAGGTCTGTACGAGCTTCTATTGTTCGGCTGGATCCAGCTGGTGTGCTCATTCATGGCCGAAGTGATTGCGGGCACCGCCATGGACGGGACGAAAAGCCGAAGCCCAGCGCAAATGGCTTGCGGAAGCACTTGGAAAGGAAGAGATTGCGCGTTGTCTCAAGAGACTGGGCGAAAGCCAATCAGGGAACTGACTAAGCAAAGAGTAGATATGCGGTTGTTATACGGTCCAGGTTATATGATCACTCTAACAGACCCATCGTTTGTGGTAGGCTTAACAAAAATTCATGACTTGGCGTCATGAGATAAACAAAACTGCAAAAAATAACCAGAAAAGGGGCGTCATAAAAACAACAACGGGGTGTTGTTATTTAATTAATAGTAAAAAAGAGTGGCCAAAAAAAGACAGGGTGCGAAAAGGGGTGGCTATTAACAACGAGGGTGAAAAGGGCTGGCTGTTGTGATCTTCTTTATTAATCGGCTTTACTTGCCGAAAAGGCAGTGAAAATAGCGCGAGTGTCACCGGTCACGTATGCCTAATATAGTACCGGTATCAGCTACTGTAACCATTAATTTTCCATCGTCTTTTTCGTAATTTTGTACTGCATAAGACTTTGCTGCAACTGACATCACTACTGCATGGGCATTCTTATATTCGTCGAAATGTCCCAACAAGACAATCCAAACCTGTTTTATAGGGTAACTCTCCAGTGCCAATGAAATTTCGGTCATCGTGGGGCGGCAGATTGGCCCGGTTGACTATATGGGTCAGCAGCATTCCCCGTAGTGCTGTGGCCATCCATTGCGCTGTTTCTGGGTCCGCTGCCAGACTGATAACAACGAACGTGCATCCGTCTTGTTGAATTCGAAGGTGAAATCGACAGCAATCCGATAAGGTGGCCAATTGCGCATTCCGCTTCAACGTGTCGCGGAAATGCTTGATGATGTGAAATCTGTCCGAGGTGTAGTTGCAAAAGTATCGCGCACCGAAAAAGGGGATAAAGAGCCTCCTGAACATTAGCCCGTCGACTCGACACAGCAACGATGGCTCTGTGACCGGAAACCGTAAGGCAATTTGGCATTTGTCCACCATGTCCGTGCGAGGCAGGCAGGAAGTGCTCTCGGTTTCTCTACTCAGCGTTTCGACGTAAAAAATTAACGTTTGGCAATGACCGCATGCAGTAGCGATTTTTAACCTAAGCGCGGGCCGAAAACGAAATGGCCCGTCATCTTCGTCGCGAAGAGCCACAAACACCTGGGTTTTCCCATGCCTGTATTCATCGTGAGGGAAATGCAGAGGCCACACGCGGCTCGCATGGATCCAGCTGGGTTTGGCCTTTGAGGATTGAAAGTCGATGAACGCGTAGTCTCCGGAGATATTCTGAATGTTTCCCAGCCAATAAACGTCGGCGTCATGGCGAACGATGACAGTGTTCTGGTAGCTCATTTGTTGTGCATCAATCAGGAGCCGCTCATAAGGAGGCAATGGCGTTGAAACCATTTTTACCGAGGCCTGAGGCTCTAGCGACCAATAACAGATAACATAAAATGTATCTATTGACAATTACTAGATATTTGGCTAGAGAAGTTATGGCAGCTTAAATCTCAAAATCACTCGTAACTCACTATTCGGTTGTGTACTGCGATTTTTATAAAAATATGTTACGAACAGCATAGAGGGAATAGCGCTTGAACAAGCGAACTGCGAAGAAATATGTTGTACAGAGATAGCTGTAAAATTCACAATAAAACTATAAATCCCCTCTAATATAACTTATATAAGTACTGTTCTGAATCTTCCAAAGACGTTTAAGACGCAGCCATAACACGTACTAGATCACAGCCGTTATGTGTTGGTAAATCACCGTAAATGACAAGTACTATTGTCATTATAATATTACTTCCTTTTAAGCGCTTCTGAGCAGAGAGTGACAATAAGTTTGCAAAATGTATCAGCGGACCTTAAGGGAAGTGGCTCGGTACATGGTACCAAAATCGTGTAGATGCACGAAATATTTCACTCTCGCGCACCCCCAAACCCTTTTTTCTCTTGTTTTATGACATTTTGTAGCCAAATGATTTGTATACACAGGCGAGAAAACCGTTTGTGCGCGCAACATCCGGTTCGGGAGTTATGGCTCTTAGAAATTCCAAAAAGTTTAAATGCGTTCAGGTGTACCAAAAGTCTCATTATGGACCGATCTCCTTCAAATTTTGCACGTAAATAAACATAACCACGAAGAACGTTTTTACACCGATCCACTGCTCTAGCATGTTTTTCAAATTTTAAAATGAATTTCAAAACATTTAAAATTCATTTAAAAATTTTAAAAAAATCATGGAACTCTGGATCGGTGTAAAAACGATCTTCGTGGTTATGTGCATTTACGTGCAGAATTTGAAGGAGATCGATCCATAATGAGACTTTTGGTACACCTGAATGCATTTAAATTTTTTGGAATTTTTTAATAGCCATAACTCCCGAACCGGATGTTGCCCGCACAAACGGTTTTCTCACCTGTGTATACAAATCATCTGGCTACAAAATGTCATAAAACAAAAGAAAAAAGGGTTTGGAAGTGCGCAAAAGTGAAAGATTTCGTGCATGTACACGATTTTGGTACCATGTACCGGGCCACTTCCCTTAACTTACACAGTGATTATTACTGGAGCGAAGGCATAAAATTTATTAATCATCCAACTCCCACGCAGTTCCTTGGATTCCGAACATGAATTCCAAGACTAAATAGTTTTATGTTTGTAAATAGTACGGCCACACCGATTTCCTAAAGGATTTCCATATAATTTTAGTGGTAAATTCTTCGTGAACACGCCACGACGACCCAACGCTATCAGATTTACGTTACAGTATATGGTTTATACGGTACAGGCCGTACAGCCAAATACATCATAATGCATCTGTCAAACAGCGAGCTGCAGACTGCGCTTGTAGCAGTCTGTAGTGTAGAGTCGGGGGAGTCGTAGACGTTCGATAAACGTACATGTTGTGAATAGAATGTATGCGGTGTCGCAGGGCAAAATTTGATGTTGGCTCTGCTCTATGTTTAAGGAAGGCGTAGAGTAATATCACAGTCTATTTATAAATGTTATGTTGTTTCGTGTATGCGGTTTGTACTTGCCATGCACGATTTGTCACCGCCTACAGTTTGCGGCGGCTCTCAAAATAACTGGATTGCGGCGGCTCTCAAATCGCTACAAATCAGCGATAGTTTGCACTTTGCATTGCAGAGGCCATAAAAATGGCAAGCGGTCTGAGTCAGACCCCGTCTGGCCTGCAGACCGTCCTCTGCAACGCTCTTGCCGCCCGGTCCAAATCGCATTTTTGAACATGTAGGTCCTGGTCGTCTGCTGCGCTCCCTGCTCCCTATCAAAAGACACAGGAGAGGGCAAAGACGCTCGGACTGGTCAAAACGCATATGGTCTGAGTGTAGGGCGTCAGTGTATCTGAATGTGAGAGGAAGAGCAGTCCACATGTACTCTGTTCCCCTCTTGTTATTGTATGCGATGGCGCACGTTTTGTTTCGCAAGTCTTTTTCAAGCAGCAGACCAAAGACATCTTTCTGTGCCAGACGGCAGCGGCATTTGGAATGCAAACCTTGGCTGCTCTGCAGAGATTTAGAGCCGCCGCAATCCAGTTAATGCCCTGGAAGCAACGGTCAATAAATATTTGAAAAAATGGATTAAGGTAAATCCGTCTGCTAATTGCGATTTTTTCTATGTTTCTGATGGATGTGATCTTAAGTCTCTAAAGTCTGTGTATGCCCAAGCGCACGCTGGTTTTATTGCCGATGCTCTTTGCTCTTCTGACGATGTTGTTGTGCAGCTAGCCAGTGAGAATATACAGGCGACATGCGCTAATGAGCCTGCAATTGTGGACTTTGTCCAGTCCTCTGTCGCTGCCGGCAGACAATGTGGGGCTAGCAAAGCGGCAATTCGTAAGGTCGTTAATAAGAAAGTGAGTCAGCACGCGTCAGCGCTAAAAGAAGACCGGCTACAATCACTGATACAGCAGGGAGCGTGGAGGGAAGAGGGAAGAGCGGCACAAATTGCCGATACTTTTTGGAAAAGTTGTTTGTTTGATCTCCCTGAGAAGGTGATTCGCTTTATGATAGAGGCTGCGCTTAACATTTCTCCTTCGTTCAATAATCTATTAAAGTGGGGCAAGACCGTATCTGCTGCATGTGATCTGTGTGGAGCGACTAAAGGCACTCTTTGTCATATTCTTAATTGATGTCCGATTTCACTTAATAGCCATCGTTACACCTGGCGTCATAATAGCATTCTGAAAGCTGTTTACGATTTCATGACCGGTGTGGCTGATCATAGAAAATGGGAAATTCTGTCTGATCTAAATCAGTCTAGCTACGATAACCACACTAGTACAATTCCTGTTAATGTTCTTTCTACTTCTCTCTGTCCGGACTTGTGTTGCATTAACCGCGCGGAGAAGCGCATTATTTTGGCAGAGGTGACTGTACCGTTTGATACGATCAACGGGTTTAACAATGCGGAAGCCAGAAAGCGAACTCGTTACGCGTCCCTCGTAAACGAACTTACGGGTGAAGGCTGGCACACCGACTACTACCACCTAGCCGTTGGATCACGAGGGATGATAGCCCGCCAAGCCATACACAATATCCTAAGTATGGCGACACTGATGCGAGCGCCTTCAAAAGTGATCGAGACTAAATCTCTGTTTTCTAACCTGGCTAAAATTTCGATTAACTGCAGCTATGTTATCTTTTTAAATAAGTCTAACAAAGATTGGACCGTTCCTTCTCCTGATCAACTGTTCACTATCAGTACTCGCTAAGCCGTTCTGTTTTGCCGGTCGACCTCGGCACGGTCGCAAACGATGCCGTTTTTGCCCCAGATTGGTGTTGTTGGTGAATGACTGTTCCGTTACATTTTACCTTTATTGCAATGAATGTAATTAATCTATGTAATATCACATTGTACAGTTGCATACGGAAGAGGCCAGTTTAACGTTGCTATGAATAAGTTTCCCTGACTTCCTTTTTTCCCGAGTTTCTTTTCAGTATTATAAAATGAAAATTTTTGAAAATTACATCTAATCGTTAAATGTACTGTATGTTCGATAGGTAGCGGGTTTTTGGTCAGGCAGGGAAACTTAAACTTAAGCTTTAATTTAATTTATTTTGAATGACATAAGTGACATAAGCATATGATCGTATATTGGCCTCTCCCCACTTGCAACTATAAGACCATTTGAACGATGTAAAAAGATGCAGGCTTGCGCGCCTGCTGAAGTTAGAAGTATGGTTTCAATCGCAATAAAGGCTGTATTTTTTTTCTGTTTTCAGTGTTCAGATATTGCAGATGCTGACGCTTGCTTATCCGCATGAATGGGAGACCATCCGAACGCTCCTAACAGTGTAGGTTTAGGTACTGGAAATTTAATAGGTTTTACTCAACTAGAATGTAAAAGTAAATTTTCCGGTATTAGCATGCACCGAGCGGTCGCGGAACTAATGGAGTAATTGGTCTAACGAGACTAGCCCGCGCTGATTGGCTGTCTGGCTGCTCCGCCCACTTAGCTACAGAGAATTTAGTGCTGAGTTTACTGGACGGCATCCGCATCCGCCATATTATTCTACTGTATAACTTCACCGTTTAAGATGTTTGTGTATGGTATGCATAATATAGACTGTTTACAATTATTTGCTTTGTGTTTTTTATTCAACTTCAGTATTGGTTTCTTTGGACATTTTGGAAGATCATTTTACTATTCAGGTAAATGTTTTAAATTGCGAAGAATTCATAATGGGTCGTTGCTGTGTTATCGGTTGCAATAATAATAGTGCCAAAATAAACTGCAGTACAGAAGGACCGCACTCGTTCCACCAGTTTCCTTCCAACAAACTCATCCGACATCAATGGTTGGAAGGAATCGGAAGGCCTGATTTCCATCCATCCAGCCGCAATGTAGTTTGTTCGGACCATTTCGCCAGCAGCTGCTTCAGTGACCAGAAAAAAAGGAAGAGATCCACGGAAGATTAGGACACTAAAGGACGGCAGCGTACCCAGCGTACCAAAAGCCTTGGATAAGCGAGCAACTGCAGGTACTTACTTTAAGGTCGTTGACTGCAAGAACTTCTTCGTGCATGTCTGGCATATTAACAAATCATTTAACAACATCATTGCCTCCTGCATTTTTGTTTTACTTATTTACAGGATCCACCAACGTTTCTCCAGAGAAAAAACGGTTATGCGCGTTTGGAGAAAGCGATGCTTTGAATACCAGGTTTAATCTTCTAGAAGTTACTGACCCATTTAAGTTGTTTTTCCTATCAATAATAAAAATATCAATAATGTTTTTTCTTAACAACAATTTAAATAAATGAAAGGTGTTATTTATTGTAGCGTTAGAAGAGCATAATGTCATTGCGCAGCTGCGGGAAAGAATTGATGAATTGGAAGGTGCGCTGGCCGTATCGGACATCCGCATCCAGGAACTAGAATCCGACATACAAGAACGCGACGAGCGCATAAGCGAACTGGAACACCTATTGTTCATGGAAGATAAAGAGCCTTTGATCAATGTCGACGACAAGATATCTGACGTAAAAAGCGAAACTTTTCGAAGGATGACAGGGGTAATGAACGTTGAAGTTCTGAATGAAATAGCGGAGATTTTTTCACCGGCGATTTTAGCCGCCTGGCAAAAGAGGAACGAGGGAGGCATTCCAAGACCTGGCAGGCGAAAGCAGTGTGTAAAAGACCAACTGCTGCTGGTTTTATTTAAACTACGGATGGATCTGAGTTTTGATTTTCTTGGTGTTCTATTTAAAATCCATATTTCACGTGCCAGCAGAATTTTTGAAATGTGGATTAACGTAATGTCAACTGTCATTAAGCGGCTTAATACTTTTCCATCTGGAGAAATGACACTGCTGGACGCGCCGCCCGAGTTTTTGGCGTCAGGGTTTAGAAATGTTCGTGTCATTGTTGATTGCTTCGAACTGTTTATTCAAACTCCTTCACATCCGGGCACTCATTCGTTTGCATATTCTTATTACAAACACCACTGCACAGCGAAATTTCTTATTGGAATAACCCCCGGAGCGAAGATCAGCTTTATTTCCAGGGCTTTTTTTGGATCCATAACGGATGAAAGTATTGTAAGCGAAAGTGGTTTACTGAATAAACTGGAACCAGGGGATGCGATCATGGCTGATAAAGGATTCAAGTTATCGCCAACAGAGGCCCGGAAACGCCAGATTACCTTGATTACTCCTGACTTTCTCGGTCCAAGAACCCAACTTTCCGCTCCAGAAATGAACAATTCTCACCATATTGCCCGGCACAGAGTCCATATTGAAAAGGGAATCGATCGCGTAACGGATTTCAGAATTGTTGCTCCAGGAATGTCTAATCTGTTGCTTCCTTTGCTGCATGATATAGTGGAGGTTATTGTTTTCTTGGTTAACATCTCAACGAGCCTGATTGCGCAAAAATAAAGCATTTGCAAAAACAGGTTGCCCTTTAGGACGCTATAGTAGCCTTGTAAGACAAAGGCATATACTGTACTACTAGATAGCTAGCTGCCGATCGTAAACCTTTCATATTACGCAAAAACCAAGCTGAAAACTAGTCTTTTGTTTTGATTCCACAATTGTTTTCTAATATGGACTGGACGCAGCTAATATTTTCTAACTTGTGGATTTTCCCTTTAAAAAGTTTTTCTGAGGAAAATATCGCTTATTACTATGCGCGCCATTCAACGCGTACCGCACGTACTTTACCGGCGTTATCTTGCGTTCGGGAGCCTGGCATTCCTTCGGACGCCCACGCATTATTTTCAGCAGGGCGCATCCGTTTGCCTTTGGAATTTCGTCACTCCCATGATAACGGTTTATTGATCAGATCTCTGTGTCGTGCGGAAGTGAGAGACCGCAATTATGATGCTAGTTTGACTTTTGCTGGAGGTACTTTAGTTTTGGCCCATTGTCAGTGCGCTGCTGGGAAGGTTGGGCAACTGCGCTGCGTGGATACTGGTTCTATGGAGACCTTTGAAGCTTCTTGTAAGCACATTTGAGCCCTAGCTCTTACTTTGGCATATTTCGTGAAAAACAACTGCTATCCTGATTACGCCACATGCTTCTCGAAACCCTGCACATGGAATGTGCCAGCTAGGCCTCCAAACGGTGTCATTGTTCCACAGGTTCATCAGTTCTCCGTCGGCAATCCGCATACAAGTGCAGAGCTCTTTCATACACTTGGACAGAAAACGTATAATGCAATTGCCGATGCATCTATCATTGATTCAACTGCAAGAACTCTTGCTGAATGGATGATGGCTAAGAAGACACCAGCAGCGGCATTACTTGACCCAAAAAACTGCTCAAAGACGGAAGCCCATTGCCATCTGTTGAAAATGCTCCGTCGGAAGTCTCGCCAGCTGCTCCTTGTCAGCTGCCGCTGCCACTCAGTAGCGATTTCGAAGCTTACGTGCAGACTACGATTCAGGATGAATTAGGAAAATTGGACTTAAACACACTGCTACTGTACAATTCATACTGGATGAAGTTTGATCAGAAAGAAGCAGAATCGCTATGCAGCCGTACGGTCAGGCAGTCGGCGTCTGTTGAATGGAGAAAAGTACGCAGAACTATTGTGACAGCGTCGAAGATTCATTCAATAGCCCGACGTCGAAAAGAGTTCACCGATCAGTTTATGCTGTCCTTGGTTTCCGAAAGTAGAGCTACGCACCAGATGCAACAAGGCATTAGCATGGAACACGAGACTGTCCAGCTTTACCTCAAAAGCAGAAGCGCAGGCTTGCCGAAGCTCCATGCAGCAACAGTTGTGTTATGCATTTGTCCTTGTAAGTATGTTTGGTGCATTTACGGTACGATCATTCTGGAAACCGCTTTTTTTTCGAACAGACTTCCCATTTATTGGTGCGACACCGGACAGAATCGTATTTAGCGATTCGTCGGATGTCGGGCTTATTGAAGTGAAAGTCCTGACGGAAGTCTCGAAGTTTCAATGGAACCTGATCAACGGCCGTGATGACATGACCGTTGATGATCTATTGTCCGCATACTACGCTATGAAAAAAGCCATCGCACCATCCTTCGACTTTTACTTGCGAAAGGACACAGTGCGCGGTTGGGCCCTTAAACATTCGCATACTTACTATAGCCAGGTCACCACTCAGTTGGCCGTTACCGGTCTTAAATACTGCGAGTTTGTTGTGAAAGTCGACGATAAAGTTTTTGTAGAACGAATACAGTTTGATCCGGTAGAATTTTTTCCGATGAATTCTTCGGCACGGTGGCCAGATTTTATTTCCCCCATTTTCTGCCGTTTTTGTACAACAGAAGTATTGCCGAAAATAATCTAAACAGCGATGAATAAATTGCCTTGATTTGCTCGTAGTAATCCTGTAGTACTTTACCGGTTACCCATAGTAATCCCCGTAGTACTGTACCACAGTAATCCCCGTAGTACTGTACTATAGTAATCCCCGTAGTACTTTACCTGTAGTAATCCCCATAGTCACTTTACCAGTAAGAATCCCCACTTTACCAATATTGTTAATTAAATACCATGTACTTGTTAAAAATAATCCCCAAGTACCTGTAGTAATACCTACTGGTAAATACTCGCAGTTATCGCAGAAATTTCACCCGTAGTAATCCCCTTTATGTTAAGATATCTTACGTAATGACTGTGTTGTAATATAGACATGTCATACTCGTAGTGTTCGGGAAAATAACAAACATGACAAAACGCACAATTATTTCTGTTTATTACATCTTGACATATGCTCCTTAAAATGAGATACAGATCGTTCCAAGCCACAAACTGCACAGGTAAAAATATTTTTTCCAGTGTGCTGTAGTTCGTGCCTGTACAAATTCGACGACGAAGGAAAGCATTTTTTACAAAACTGACATTGAAATACTGGTTTCTGTTGAGATTTATCGTCTTGGGTTTCCGGTAGTCCGTTGAAGAAGCCGTGCATGCGGCTTACCGGAAGGCTGGTCGATAAAAGCTGAGTTAAGCAGGAAGTGCGATCAGAAGGGTTTCGATAAGCGCTGCCTGTAGATTTGGTCTGATGGCATTCGGTTCCGGAACGATATCTACAAAAAGCATACATTTTAAGCAAATACGAGAACATATCTATTTACACTTTAAAGTAGCAAAATTTATCCAAGGCGGACGCGTGATACGAATTAAATAAACTACAATACAGAAGCAGCCAAGAAGACTCAACAGTTTCGTACAACATCTGCAGCACTGCAGACAATTAATAAAATATTACCCACACCATTTTGAAACACACCTTGGCTCAGGCTGAGGAAGAATCGACGAGCTGTCCGTTTCGTTCTCTTGCCATTCGATGTCCCTGTCATCGTTCTCTTGCTCTCCCGGCGTTTCTTCATCGGGTCGCAGAATACCAACGTGTTCGAGCAGTTTCATGAGATCATCCTCGTCGGACAGAAAGCCACGACCTATGACTGCTGTGATGTAGTCGGAGCTGAGCTGCGTCTCATCCACAAACACCGTCGGAATCAGCCGGCCCTGCTTGTCCCCGCCAACGGACTGCTCGCGACAGACCCGCACGCTCTTGCTCATGCGGGGCACCGTGCCGCTCAGATCAACTTGGAAGAAGACAACAGTTTCTGTGGCAGGATCGCTTGCCTTCCGCCACGATGAGAGTCTTGAATCCGGATCGTGCCAAGCGACATTATAAAGGGATCCCAGTGGCGGTGTAGAATCGTCAGGACTTTGGTCCACGGGAAGACGAGAAGGCATCACTTGGAACCGGTCATTGAAAAAGCGGTGGTCTTGGTACCGGCGAATAAACTCTGGCATGTCTAGAGTAAGATTCGTTGCGTTGCAGCTACAAGAAGACGAAATTGACCCGAAATCAATCCACGCCGGCGTGGCAAAATTAGCGGCTTCAGCGAGATTAGCGCCAGTATTGAAGCCGGCGTGGTAAGACCGCGGAAAGGTGATCATGAACTCCCCAGGATAATGAATTGCCTGCAAGAAAGACATTTAGATTTTAGCAGTTACAAGTACAATAAATAAAAGCGGCAATCACCCTCGCTACAGGCATTCCATTTTCCCGCAATAAATCAGGGCGAAATAAAGTATTTTTATGCCGAAGGAACTCGCTGCATTCTTTGAGCGCCTCTGGAAAAAAAATCTGAAAAAGTATAAAGGACTTGCATAAGCGAAAGCCATCAGATCAAATATTTTCCTTCGACTATCGTCGCTACCCCACTCTATACTTGAGATTGCTGTGAATACCTACGTCGTGTGCGAACTCCTCGAAATTTTGCGCGTGCTGTGCTTCGAGGCCGTACCAAACTTTTGGTGATCCTTCGTTTAAAAAATTTATGGTATACAAATCACAATCCTCAACGTGATAGCCGAAAATTGTGCGAAACATCCCGTAGTAAAGAAACGAATTAGTTATCCCAGCATACTCCTTGCTGCCCAGGGTAGATCGGAGAATAGAGTCTAACCGATTAACATTCCACAACTGCAAAAAAATTTAGGAGACATCATAATACAAAGTGTGACAGAACAATTCACCAGGTCGCCATCGTTAAAGAGCGATGCGTTCTTGCCGGAATGCACGCCGTACAGGCTATCAGCACACTGAATTTCACTCCAAAACTCTTTCTCGATTTCGTCAATATCTATAAAACAATTTATGATAACAGTTTGGCAAAATATTAAGCAAGGGACAA